TGTGTTTCATGTTTAATATTCTTGCTTTCCTTTTTTGTTTTCTGGTGTTTTATGCTTTTTCTGCTGTTTTGTATCTTAAATTGTTTTTATGGTGATTTTAATTATGTTAATGTGTGGTTAGCTGCCCCAGGATCCAGTTTTCTGGTACAGATCATTCAAATAAATAAATAACACAGAGGGAAAACTATTTGTGATAATACCTTGCCTTGTGTGAATCACTCGTCATGACTCATGATCATCAGTTGGCTGTAATGTCCAATTTGTGCCTACCTGTTCATTTGCTGAGGAAAAGAAATTATTACCATAATGATGCTGGTTACAAGCCTATTAACTTATAGAACCATCCACCGTTAAAAATGAGACTAGGGGTGGAGAGAAATGTCACAATATTTGTTCATAATCAATATTTTAAATGTAAAACATTCTCAGGAATATAAACAGCAAGGAGAGAGAACCTGATACTGTATTGTTTTGTGCTTTGTGGTAAAAAAAAGGCTTAGCTCTTTTGCATGTCACAATTGTAATGAGAAGTGTTGAGTAAATTCTGTCTGCAAAAGTAGCAGGGGACCTACTTACTCCTCAGAACAGTAAACTGAATGTAATCCGGAAAGGTAATGTGTCCCTACTGTCAGCCCAGATGTACTTGTAGGTCTCAATTCTGATTTGGCTTGATGTCCTGCTTTCACTTGCTTCAGATGTAATGGCAAACTAAGAGGTGCTTCTACGGATGGTAGGGTTGCCAAGTCCAATTTAGGAAATATCTGAGGACTTTGGGGGTGGAGCCAGGAGACTTTGGGGGTGGAGCCAGGAAAAAGGATGTGACATCACTTTTGTGATGTCACATCCTGTGATGCCACTTCCAGGTCAAAGGTCAAGTGATGTCACTTCCCTAGCTCCACCCCTTCTGATGTCACTTCCAGCAGGGGAGCTGCCCTCTGGATGGCCATATGGGCCATCTAGTCCAACCCCCTGCTCAATGCAGGACCAGCCAAGAGCATCCCTGACAAGTGTTTGTCCAGCCCACTCTTAGGCCTGTCATTCCAGTTCCAGAACACTCCTGCTACACCCTGGGGCTGTCATTCCTGTCCGTGGTCTCTCGTTCCAGTCTCTGAACACTCCTGCTATACCCTGGGACTGTCATTCCACTCTAGGGCCTGTCATTCCAGTTCCAGAACACTCTTGCTACCCCCAGGGGCTGTCATTCCACTCCATGGTTTCTCATTCCATTCCCTGAACACTCCTTCTCCACCCTGGGGCTATCATTCCATTCTTGGGCCTGTCATTCCAGTCCCAGAACACGCCTGCTACACCCTGGGGCTGTCATTTCACTCCATGGTCTCTCATTCCAGTCCCTAAAGTCTCCTGCTACACTCTTTGGCTGTCATTCCACTCCGTGGTCTCTCATTCCAGTCCCTAAACACTCCTGCTCCACCCTGGGGCTCTCACTCCACTCCGTGGTCTCTCATTCCAGTCCCTGAAAACTCCTACTCCACCCTGGGACTGTCATTCCATTTGCCATTCCTGGCTCCCATTGTTTCCAATGGGCCTTCAAGGGTTTCCCATTGTTTCCAATGGGCCTTCAAGGGTTTCCCATTGTTTCCAATGGGCCTTCAAGGGTTTCCCATTGTTTCCAATGGGCAATCCTGTCCTTCCTTTTAGTACATCCCCAGAAAATAACCCTAAACACCCGACCCTTCTGTTTTTGATAAGGACAATTTGAGGGCAAGCGCTGGGGGGGGGGGAGGCATGTTGCAGCCTGAGACTAGAGCAGGAAAGTCCCAAGAGCAGGGGAAGTGGGCGCCCAGCAGAGAAAGACAGAATTCGCTGCACCAAGGCTTGAAAAGGGAGGCTGGACAAAGGGCTTGCATCCCAGTTGCCAGGCAGGTAAAGGTAGGCCTTTGTGTGCTGGGTGGAGTGCTGGAATGGACAGGAGAAGCTCTGGCTGGCCCCCTCCCTCCCTCTCTCCCTCTCTCTCGGGAGCTTTTGCAGAGCAGCTGTCGGGTGGGAGCCCAGGGCTTGTGGGCTGCCCTGGCAGTTCCCTTCCGCAGCACACAAGCAGATCGCCCGCCAAAGGAGCCGAAGCTGCCTTGGAGCCCTCCAGCATTACATCCACGCCTTTCTTCTGGCACGCCAGGACGGGTGGTGGTGGTGGCGCTCAGCGAGGAGGAGGGGATGGTTGCCTGCTGCTTGGGACTCACCTCGGTCTGCCAGCGTCGGCTTGGGAGGAATGCAGGCAGCACACAAGCAGATCGCCCGCCAAAGGAGGGATGCCGGGAGTGGGCGGCGCTAAGGAGGCGAGGCGAGTAGCGACTACACTCTTTGAAGGCAGATGTTCCCGCCGACGGTCAGAAACCTGTGGCGCTCTAGCCTTCGTCTCTATGGCTGCTGCTAGAGTGACCCCCGCCGGCCAATTCTTAAAAAGCGGGGGAGGGGGATCTCAGATCTGGGGACCCCCGCCCTAACGGGGGAGTTGGCAAGCTTAACGGATGGAAGGTTCTCTAATTGCAGAATGCTGTGTTTTTGCTCCCCCATATGCTACAGGCCAAAAATGACCCTGAAATGCTGCTTCAGGGGGACCCCTCCAGAGCAGCATGGGGGGGGGCATTTTCTGCAACGGTGATGTGAGGGAGGTGAGAAGGTCACTTTTTATAAACAATTGCTGAGCAGTCGAGTTAGAACAGATAAAAGGAAGTACTTCTTCACCCAAAGAGTGATTAACACATGGAATTCACTGCCACAGGAGGTGGCAGCGGCTACAAGCATGGACGGCTTCAAGAGGGAATTAGATAAACATATGGAGCAGAGGTCCATCCGTGACTATTAGCCACAAGGTATAGATAGGAACTCTCGGTCTGGGGCGAGTGATGCTCTGTATTCTTGGTGCTTGGGGGGGGGGCAAACAGTGGGAGGGCTTCTAGTGTCCTGGTCCCACTGCTGGACCGCCTGATGGCACCTGGTATTTTTGGCCACTGTGTGACAGAGTGTTGGACTGGATGGTTCTCTTATGTTCCTTGGGCAGAAATCTTTTTGTACAGTGAAATGTTTTGGGGGATCCAAGCCATTGCTCTCTGGTGGGTTCACAAGGCTGGGAAATCTTCAGGCCCACGCACTCTGTGCTCCCCTTATGCATGTGGTAACTAGTTATTTCCATGTATGTAGCAAACCATAATTTGTCATTACATCCAAACTGGCAAGCTTAAAAAAATGCTGTTCACCTAGATGTAACTAGCTGTCAGGCCCTAACAGAGCCTCAAGAAGGCTTTCTTTCCCTGGCTCAGTTACAGAGTGGCAAACTGTAGTTTGCTTTCCAATAGAATCTGTCTTTTGTTTTAAATCCTTTTTCAGTAGCTTTTTAGTGTTGTTGTATAGCATTTGTGAAACCTGAAAACCAATAAAAGAGCCCTTATCTAATTAGTATTTTTGCTTACTATTTCTATAGTTTGGGATTGAATGTTACTCATATTTTCTGTGTGGTTTTTAAACTAGACAAGGAAAATACAGCACATCTCTTGTGGCCCTATAATTACACTAGTGGTCTGATTATACGTCTTGTGGCAAGTTCATAACCCCATTCTTCCATGGAGAACACTTGCTGGGTGACCTTGGGCAAGTCAGCCTCTCTCTCAGCTTATGCTACCTCACAGGGCTTTTAAGATAAAAAGAGGAAGGGAGAACTGTGTATACTTCCCTGAAGTCTTTGGCGGAAGAATGGGATAAGCATACAGAAAGTGGATAGAATGGAAATCAAATGGATGTCAGTGATCCCACCATATCCCTGGAAGAGAACTGTTTCCAGCTGCACTACAGTTAGATGCCATATTCAATATGGAAAAAATCTTGTGGGATAGAAGCTAGATATCCAGTCCTAGAGAAGGGACTTGCAAGGCAAAACAGCAAGTAGGAGGTAAAGAACAATCTGGCAGGCCGGTTGTGTAAAGAAGAAGTGCCAGAAGAGGAAGCAGACTCCCAGGAGCCAAGTGTAAACCAGGAGGAAGGGCTTCTCTTCTTAGAGGAGGGGATTTGAGCCCAGCCTGAGCATGGTGGCAGAATGGGCAGGATGCCAGAGAAGGTCCTTAGCCAGACGAGGAGTAGTACATGCATGTCAAGAGACTAAGCAGAATAAAGTATTTGCCTGCAGCATATTCTTTATCTGATGCTTTCTGTGCATGGAACTGTGTGAAGCAAGGCACTATTAAAAGATAGGCAAACAACAGAATTAGGTTTCTTTCATCTCAAACCCTCTGCCTCTCATATACCGGGGTCTACTTCTCCAAATCCATTCCAGCTCTAAGCTTTGCCCCTCTCTCGTATGTGTTATATTTGTTTCTGATTGTGACTCAGCTATAAGTAAGATAATTTTTTTAAAAAAAATATTAGATTTTCACTCATAATAAAACCAGGCAATAAAGGGTAGGAAGGGTAAAGGGTATGGGGTATGGGGTAAGACATACAGGGAAATTCCTTCAAGTTTGTATTATAGCTGTTACAAGTTTCTACTTCTATTTATGATTTCCTTCTTTTTATATAGATGCTAAAGTTGTTATCAGTTAATCCATTCGCTGAGAATCCTGAAGAAAGAAAATTATGCTTTCCACAGTTCAAGCTAGAGTTTCTCTAAGATTTTAATATTTAAATTCATTATTCTTGATCTTCAAGGTTTCTTTCTACCCAGTCATAAAATGGCATCCAATTATCTTTCCCATTTTGCTTACTTCTGTCTTTCAAACAGTTCGATAGTATGTCCATTTCTGCTGTCTCAAAGATTTTTGTCAAAAGGTTGCTTTCCGTTGGTATCTCTGATTTCTTCCAATAGCATATAATATTCTTGCGGTCGTGACTATGTGTATAATTAGATGTTTAAGTTGCTTATCTTTAACATCAGGCATATCTATAAATAAGACAGGTGATGATCTTTAGTTACAGCAGTTTGGTCTTGCCGTAGGTTCCAGAGAGCTAGAAATACAGACCTATAGTGACTTCTTACATGTGTTGTTTTCCAGAAATGACTGCTTTCTTATGGAAGAGTGTCCATCGAATGCCTAATAGCATGTTGCTCTGGCAAAGAACTATGTCTCTGTATAACCATACCCATGGTTTTGAAGAGAAGGAAATAAAGAAAAAACTTCAGCAGTTTACTGGTGGATCTGTCAGCCTTTCAAAAAAGGAAGACGGCATTGGGATACTTACCTTGAACAACCCAAAGCTAATGAATGCATTCACAGGTATTATGTGTTTGATTCCTCTAAGTGTATGCAAAGACAAAAATGAAAAGTTAACACCTTAGCACCATTGTGAAAAGATCTAGCTCTTAATCACAGAAGTGTTAAATAGGTCTTGTTCTTGCAAGATACATGCAACCCTGGAAAATCTGTCTGTCATAACAGTTAAATGAGACTCTGTCAGTTGTCCCGCTTCTTTTCTCTTCAGATTGCCTGCATGTTCCAGGGTGAAATATTTGCTTTCATCTTGGTCTGCATAGCATATTCTGTCCTTAAGGGAATTCTAGAGGCACCAATACTGGCCAGCTGCTGATTGTATACTTGCTGTTAAATGCCTGCCCAAATAAAAATGTCATAAGATGTTTCTAGAACATGCTTGAACTACCAGAGAGGAGCTATTCCCAGCTACCACAAACACCTCTGTAAACACCCTCAGCATTTGTACTTGGCACTCAAGAGACTCATCTTGGCTGAGTGCAACACTCGTGATGGGATTGTAACAATTTTGGACATCATAGGCAAAAACAACTCCTTAAAATAAAGCTAAAAGACATTAGGCAGGCAGTGGTGCTCTGATGCTGTGTACCAGTGGCCTGGACTTGACAGGCATTTTGCATCCCCTTTAAATGAGGGATAATGCAGTGACTTGGAAGTGAGATATTCATTGTCATTATGCTTTCTTCACTCTTGATGGTTCCTGACACTGAACCATTCCTGTGCCCTTTGCACAAAATAGATGTCTTGCATCAGTGTTCCACCCTGTTCCAAGGAAGAAAAGAGAAACAGTTGGCTTAATTTTGTACTCTGTCCCTATCCCTAACATTTGTGACTCGTTCTGCCAAGAGCATTTTTCATTATATGCTCTTGAAATGTATCGAAGTGACTGGCAGATAGTGTTAGACAGATTGCATGAGACAGAAATATCATCAGTGACTGTATATATAATTGTGGGTCAGCATGGCAGAGAAACCCCCCCAGCCTCACCCACCCCCAAACTACTATCTGCCTTCCTCTGTTGTTGGGTCAACTAGGTCCAAACTAAACAAGATTAGATTGAGAGCAGGGGTCGTTTCGTAGCAAAAGAGCTAGGGGGGCTCATTAGCATAACTCATTAGCATATGCCACACCCCCTGATATCACCGGAAGTGTGTCATAAGGCCACACCCCCTGACATCACCGGAAGTGTGTCATAAGGCCACACACCCCATGAGGGGCCCAGCAGTGGACCTGCAAGGCCGGCGGGAGTGCAAGGAAGCCCCGCGAAGGCCCTCCCTGGCCCCAGGCAGGCAGGGGTGGGGAGAGGCAGGGAGGAAGCAACTTACCCTCCCTCTTCTCCTGCCTCCTCCTGGCTAAATGAGGGCCGGAAGCAGGGCGGCCGGAAGCAGGGGGCGGGGCTTCGTCATGCGCCCCCCCGTACCTCACCCGGGGGAACTGCGATCCCCCGCGATCCCCCCGAAATGACCTCTGATTGAGAGACAGATCCATACTACTTTATTCCCATGTCCTCACACTTACTTGTATAAAATGTTTCAAGGGGTATTTTTTTTAAAGAACAAAGTGTACACGTGAGGGGATCTTAACCCTGGCTTGTCTTTCCTCATTGTTCTGAGATATTTTAGTAATTTTTCCTTCAGCCCAGCTGTAATTCCCAAAGAGAGGTGGGCTGCGTGGATTCAGACACACAATGCAGACGCCATTGTTTTATATGTAAGTAGATAGTTGCATGGATCTCTCCCACCCCTGTGCAACATGTTCATTTTCCCCTTAGATTTATTTTTTAAAATCTGTACTAATATAGCCCTTCTATCCGGCTATGAGCTGAATGCCTCAGTAGTTTTTCCTTCTGTTATTGACAGGTGCAATGATGATAGAACTACAGGAAAAAGTCACTGAATTAGAAAACTGGGAGGATGGAAAAGGACTTATTATCCATGGTGCAGAAAATACTTTTTGCTCAGGATCTGATCTTAATGCAGTCAGGCTACTGTCCAGCCCACAGGCAAGTAATGGCAGCAATTTCTTTCCCAGGAAAAGATATTCATTTTCAAATTCTGAAGCATTAATTCAAGGAAAGGCAATCAAAAATCATCATCACTACAAAAAGGGAAACAATAGAATGCTTCATTTTGTGTCTGGGTGTTAAACATGCAGTCAGCATTTCAGAAATGACAAATTATAAGGATGGTAGTGGTGGAGTATATGATTTATTACTCAGAATCTCCTGGTTACATATTCTTCTTTCAGCTTACGCCATTTCTTTTAAAAACTTTTATCTCCTAGAGACTGTTAGCAGTTACAGATAAGAAGATTAGCATGAATGATTTGGCAACCCTCTAAAGGGAATTGTTTTCCTTTAAATACGATTGGGCTAATGAGAGAAAAAGGGGGAGAGAGCGGAGAAGGAAACTCCTGTTGAGGGAAAGTTGTTTGTTTTACTACAGTCCAGTGTTCCCTCTAAGATGAGTTAGTGTGAGCTAGCTCACAGTTTTTTAGCCTCCGGCTCACACATTTTTGTCTTAGCTCAGGAAGCATGGATCCAGAGCAAACTAATTTATGCAGTAGCCAGATTGCTTGCTCACAGCCTTAAGGCCAGTAGCTCACAAAGTAGATTTTTTGCTCATAGGACTCCACAGCTTAGAGGGAGCATTGCTACAGTCCTATACACACTTAGTAACCAGCTCTGCACTGCACCTAATTTCTGAGTAAACCCGCATTGGATTGGACAGGAAGTGTCAGGATTGGGTTGGCAGTTGCACCAAAATCCTTGGACCCAGCAGCTATTGGTAAACTTATTTCCTACAATTACTCTCTGTCTCTCAGAACACTTAAATAACTGCAGGACAACACATTTATTGACAATAAAATCAGTACTGGATTGTTTTTTAGAAAGGGTGTGAGTGCATGATGAATTGTTCTACATCCCTTTGTCATTGATCCTGAGTGTTTGCTACTGAATCTGATTAGAGCCTGGGTAGGAGAACCTCCTATGTCAGCCTCCGTGAATCCCATGATCTAAGAAAGGAGGGATTTTAAAATTTTATTTTATATTATTCAATCGATTTTTACCCCGCCCTCCCCGCAAGCAGGCTCAGGGCAGCTCTCACTGGTCAATACAAACAACCATTAAAATCACGTAAAATCCTCTAAAAACTGAATAGACATATGAACAAAAACTGCAGTCCCTTTTGTCTATTCCCTCAGCTAAGAGGGAAGTCCTAGCTCTCACTGATGGCTTAGATAGATTTTTGGCTCTGCTTTGCAGGTCTAATTTAAGGGCCAGTTGGTTTGATTTGTGAACTTGTATAATTGGAAAATAGGGTTCAGATTTGGTTTTGTGTATTTGTTGATGGAGTACAAATATTTTATTTTCCCTGTGCTACTGAAAGGCAGAGGCTTGAGTTTCCATTAGGACAAAACTTTCTCCCCCTCCTCCCCCCCCTCCCCCCCCTGCTGCAGCTGCCTTGGATTTGTTAAATTCTGTGTCATACTTCCACAATAATTTTAGTAATAGTTTAAAGATTAAGACCAAAGAAATAAGACCTTGGCCCAGCCAGCACAGCCTTCTAAAATCCCATTAATTACAATGGAAGAGGTACACCAGGGGATTAACTCTCTCCTTTGAAACCAGTTGGTCTTCAGCACTTGTTAGCTTTGGGTTGAATTGTTCCCTATATATTAAACTACAGCAATGGATTCCCCCCCCCCCCCCGCCTGCTGCTCCCGATATTAGTAGGGTGATTTTTAAATGATGGGTCAGAATCCATTAGTGGATTCTGAAGATCCTTGAGTGGATGGTGCTCAGGCTGTGTTTTGTCTTTAATGCTATTCCTTTTGTAGCATTTTATACTCATATTTAATATTCATGCTGGAATATGTTATGAGCAGTGTCACTTATTGAAGGATTGGGAATGGATTCTGTCAAAGAGTGTCACCGTGCAGGTCCTGGACAAAAAATGAAAATGCCAGTAGAAAATCATATGTGAGTTTAGAAGGGAACAGCTATTCAAATTAAAGGATTTCCCAGATATGCTAGATTTGTATCCAAGCGTAGTGGTCTATAATGTAGGCTGGCAGGTCATATGTCTTCCATCATATTGAAACATCAGCAGACTCTTTTCAGTTGACTCCCAAGAATCCCCTGCTGAACTTTCTTTAAGGGCAAATGAAGGCGTAGACCTTGACACTTCTATTTCAGCTGGATGTAAACCAAAATGGGTGTGTAAGCTATCTGATGAATTGGTTCTTCAGCATGGTCTATTAGGGATCTTTTCCAGTGTGCTAAGGTGGAATAAACAGGAACTCATAAATAAAAGAAAACACGAGTGAAAATGGTTTCTTCTCAGACAATAAACAACACAGAGTTGGCCATGTTGAAATGGTTGGTCAAAAAGGTGACCCAGTGAATCTTCATAGGCCATCACAGCAAAAGCAACAAACACACGGGAAACACAGCAAGGTTGAGTAAACGTGGAGAAACACCATGTTCAAACAAAACACACAGTTTTGATATGCTACTATAACTTTATATATTCAAATAAATCATATAATATACAGTAAAGACCCTAGTGCAACCTGTTAATTATAGTACACGGATAAGAATGACATAAAGAACAATATATATTTTGTAGGAAAGTCCACAACTACAGAGACGAATATGCAGACAGGATTCAATGCTGTAGGCTGTCTTGCTTTCAGAAAAGAGATGCAGCAAACATCATGCAACATGCCTCCCAGGCAAAAGTTGCGTATTTCAAGAAATTCTTCAGGCAAACTATTTCTCCTGGAACTGAATTACAAATACAGTATAACACAATATACTTTATATAGTATCCGGGGTGGGGGGGAAGAGCTAGCTTGCTGCACTCACCCAAAGCTCGCATGTGCTACAATGCACAAGTCAAGAAATTCTGTAGAAGGCTTCTCCAGTTCTTCATAGGAACAACCCAGAAAGACCACTCTAATAAAACACAACTGCACTGATGAGTCCCAGAAAATTAAAGGGACAGTACTTACAAAATCTCACACAGTTAACAACTATAACTATACCGATTGCTTAAATTCTGAACCAGATTGTAATAATACAACTTCCAGAAGAGTACAGCATTTACAGTCTTAACAATTCCAACACACCGCCACTACCATCATCATTATTCCATCTTCACCTGGCCCTGGATGAGGGAACATCAATGCTTCCCTGGAGCAGACGATGCTGAACAGTTCAAATATGCCATCTCTGAAATTTCATGTAGAACATCTAGAGCACTTTAGTCAGTAACTCGTTATGAATGTTTTTGTACTGTTGGATTTTAAATGGTTTTAATTATGTTTTATATTGGCGTTTGCCCCTATGTAAGCCGCCCTGAGCCCGCATTGCGGGGAGGGCGGGGTATAAATTGAATTAAATAAATAATAAATAAATAATAACATTACAGAATTCAAAGGACAATACCAATATTACACACATGCCCAAAAGCCCAATTATAAAGATGCTACTTGTGAAACCCCCCCCCCATCAATTATAAAATGAACCAGAGTCAAAACTATAATAACCACGAATATACTATTTATAAAAATGAACTGAGGTCCAAGGATACATTTAAGCCATGAGGACATACTGTATTAAATTGGGGTATAAAAAAAACTCCTTTTGAAGCAATAGTCTGTGAACATCATGAATATCATGTGTCTTATTATTAACCACCCTGTAGATTGTCAAACATTGTAGATCATTAAATTCATGCTTTTGATCTAAATAATAGCTCACAATAGGAGCATCTTGGTTCTTAAGTCTCACCCAGGACACATGCTCCAATATACAAGTTTTTAAACTCCTCATAGTAGACCCCACATAATATCTGGGGCAAGAACACCATAAAACGTAGACCACTCTTGTAGATTCACGATTAGTGAATTGTTTCAGTCTCCATATGAAATTGTTTATTGTGATCTCGTTAGTCTGGGTGGTGTGTTGACACACTAAACAGTTTTTACCACATTTGAAATGCCCTGACAGCAAATTAGATTTGGACTGAAAATTACTCATATCAGAATGAACAACCATATCCTGAATGTTGGAACTCCTTTTATATCCTATTTTAGGAAAATTGGAACACCCCTGTAAATGCTGTATGATGTGCCAATGCCTGCGGAGTATGCTAAAAATCCTGTTTGATCTTGGAGAGAACTGCAGTGCACAAGGGAAGGGAGATCTATGTGAATGCTTTTGTTGTGTAAAAATTTCATCCCTACTTAACATATCTGCCCTCCTCTTGGCTCTAAAAACCAACTCTTTGGGGTACCCCCTCTGTACAAAGGTTCTAATTAGATTGTTAGAGTCTGCTGTGTATTCCATCAAACTAGTAGAGTTTCTCTTAGCTCGAAGAAACTGACTATATGGGAGATTATCTTTAATATGTACAGGATGAAAGGATTTATAATGCAGGAGAGAGTTACAATCTGTGAGCTTATGATAGCGTTTAACCCCTAACTTTGTTTGGTTCAAAACAAAAACAGTGGTGTCCAAAAAATTAATACAGGAGGGACTACTTTCAAAATTAAACTTAATGGATGGGTGCAAAGAATTGTACCAATCCACAAAAGTAGGAATTATGTCAGCTCTGTCAAAAAGACAAAAAATGTCATCAATGTAACAATAATAATGCAACATATTTTTCCTGAAAAGTATTCATTGACATCATAGAAGAAAGTAGTCTCAAAATTCTCCATGAATAGATTTGCAGAAGGCGCACAAGCACTTCCCATCGAGACACCACGTACTTGTAAAAAGAATTCAGATTGAAATCTAAAATTTTTTTGTTCAAAAGTAACATCAAGCACCTGCATTAAGAAGTATGTGGGAGGTTGCACTAGGGTCTTTACTGTATATTATAAGTACATGATTTATTCGACTATATGAAGTTATAATATCAGAACTGTGTGTTTTGTTTGAACGCTGTGTTTTTCCACGTTTACTCACCATAGCATAAGGCCTGGGGATACTCTGTCGTGGCTGCATGCTTTGTTCCTAGATAGTCATGAAGGATGGCATCTTGCAGGAAATCATCTTGTCTCTGACAGGAGTATCCTGTACAAAACAAAGTGTTTTGCTAGTTGCACGCAGCCTCTAGAGGAAGGATCCTTGGTGCTGTCTCAGCTTTACATTTCCCCTGTGTCAGCTGCTATACATTGGCCCCGGTCACATGGAAGGTTTTGGCCCGGGAGAGGGACGGATCGGGGGCACAGCAAACGGGCGCGATCTCACCGCAACATCTGGGAAGCGGCGTGCACCCGTCCCCGATCTGGCCCTTCAGGCCAAAAACCCACAGTAAAAAAGAACCACCCCCAGAGGAGGACTTACCGGGAACGCCGCATCAAGCGCAGCCGTGGGATCGCCGCCGCGCCCGTCGTCCAGAGCAATCCAGGCTCCCGGCTGAACTGCGCATGTGCAGTGGCTTCCCCCCGACATCTGATTGTGCCGGGGAGGAAGTGTGCGATGCTTCTATGTGATCCCGCCGCCACATGTCTCTTTTGGTGTGGCTTTAAAAAGCCGCACTTTACCGGTGCTTTTCCCCCCCGTGTGGCAGGGGCCATTGTTTAGAATTAGAAGATCCTGATCTAAGCCTCTTAGAAAGCAACTTTTGTGAAAACAGCATAGACCTGGTTAAATTGGGATTTTGGTTGGCAGGAAGATATTTACATTTGTAGCATTGTTACCACCCTTGGTGTCTTACTAGAACTGAGCCGCAACTGTAGCATTAGCACTTTTGGCATACCTGGTAGCCGTGTCTTGAGTCCATGCTACACTAATGTGTTAACATTTCATGTGCAGCAGCTGTTGGACCATCTTAAACAAGGCACTGCACATACAGTGCTTCACAGAATATTCATACCTGCCTTTGTTTCAATTAAAGACTGTCTCCATGTTCCATCTCAGCTGCTTGAACAACACAATAATTGACAATAGCAGAAGCAGAAGTCAAGATCTGCTTTCCCTACCCTACTGTGAAAATGCAGATCATCTCTTTCCACCAGCAGAGGGAAGAGCCAGTCCTCAATTTTATCTGATTTGTTCTTATACTTATGGATTTATTAACTGCCTTGAGTGTAATAGAAAGGCAGGTTCTAAATTTAATTTAATAAATAAAATAACATTGGACCATGCACAGAGAGAGAGAGATGTGCAGAGATTGCTGGGAGGAAATGAGATATATTGTTCATAGGAACAGCAATTTACCAAGTAATATTCTCAGGAGGAGGAACTGAGACATGCAAATCAGCCTTCCAAAAAGATCATATTTTGGCAGAGTGCCATTGCTTTACAAGGGCTGAAGCCTCCTGGGCATTCCTTTCTTGTTAAGAAAGAGAGCAAGAACAACATGTTTTATAGGGGAACTCTGCATAGCATGGGGTATGCAAGTCATGACTGTGGGAAGGTTTTGTATGTTCAATGTGACATGATTAACCGACAAGCTTAATCTGTAAACACAATCTGAAGAGTTTGTCTTTCTGTTAACAGCCAGCTTGGCTCAGTCATTGGAGCCCATCATAGTCTTCAGTTATATCCACAGGTTTTTTTCAGCTGTGTCATCCTTGGTGTTGATAATTAATCAGGTATAATTAGCAGACAGTATCACTGTAAAGGCAGAGATGTTCTGAGATCACTAATGTGGCTTTGTTTTAAAGCTTTACTCTGTGCAAAGCACCCCCCCCCTTTCTTCAACAAGCACATCTTTGTATTCATGGGCATATTAGACCACTATTGTGGCTTACTTGGTGCATGCTTTAGCTTTTAAAAAATAATACTGAAAGTAATGCATTGTGTGAAATGCCTTTATTCTCTTAGCCTCTAAGAACGATCTTTCCTTTTGAGAAAGCTGCCTGTGTAGTACTATACAAGTAGGGGACTTGGGGGCATCTCATTTCCCTCCCACACTGACTGTTCCCTCTGTTCTTCTCTGAAAACCACCATAGCCACTCCTCTTTTCCTGTTCTCCTTTCCATCCACCAGCCAACCTAACTTTATCAGCCCCTCTGTCTTCAGCTTTACCTCCTTCCCTCCTCCTGACAGTCTCTTCCCAGGAAAATGATGTCGAATGTTGCCATATGCTGGTCTGTTCCGGGTCCTGTTTGCATGGTGGGGAACTCGCAAGGACTTACAGGGGCATCTCACTTTCACCTGTATCCTTCTTCCCACACTATTTCATCTTTCCTTCATCCTGGCAGCCCCTTACCTTTCCTTGCTTCCTTCTCACTTTTCCATCCACCAAGCACTCTGGCTTTTACCTGCAGTCTTCAGCTGTATTTATGATTTATTTACTTCATTTATAGCACACCTTTCTCCATAATGGGGACCTAAAGTGACTTACATCATTTTCTTGTCCTCCATTTTATCCTCACAACAATCCTGGGAGGTTGATTACACTGAGGTGTGTGACCGGCCCAAGGCCACCCAGTAAACTTCCATAGCAGAGAAGGTATTCAAACCTGGCTCTCCAAGATCCTAGTCTGAAGCTTTAACTGCTACACCCCACTGACTGTCATGGCATGGCTGCTGTTGAACAGTAGCAAGCAGCCGGGCCTAGGTGAGTCATGCAAATCAGGCAGTAGTAAGCGGCCTGGTGGTTGCTGGGGGGGCCTGCCCCCAAAGCGTCCTCCCTCAAAGGCCAAACCAGACCTGGAAAAGGCCCTGTCCTCTGTCTCTGACTTTTAGTGATAGAAACCAAAGCTTGAAGAATGGCACTATATTGTCATTGCCTAGCAATGGCCATAGAGGATATTTGTTTCTTCTTCTGCTTCTATTATTGTTTTGAGGGGGGGAGGCTAAGCCCCCTTTTTTTAGATTCCGTGTTTGCAGAAAAATCTGAGGCTTTGCTGATGTTTGTAGAAAGAACTTTTGTGTCTGTTCGTGGATCCAGTGTCCATATTTAAGTATCCACAGATGGAGCCATGTTGAGAATTAGATCTATTGATGATATTGCAAAGTGTATCATAGAAGCCTCTGTGCTTGGGTTTGGCAACTGAGTACTTCAGGGCCAATTCTAGTCCACCCTAAGCAATGTCAGTTGGCCCCTCGTTTGCAACCCATAGAGAAAAAAGGTAAGTGGAAGAAAATGGGTACCATGACACAGAGATGACAGGAGATTTCTGTGGTGGGCAGAGAGAAAGAAGCTTGGCTTGCCACCTTTCATCCTGTCTTCAAATGTGATAGTTCCTTAAACGTAAGTGCTGAGAAGGTCTACATGTAGACCTTTAGATGAAATGAAGCTTGTGTGGTGTAATAGAAAATAACTACCCTGTGTCAAATGTAGTGTAAGTGGGAGAGTATTTCTGCCCATTGATAGTTGATAATCCATTCGGAGCAATACCAAGAAGTCTTTTGCTATTTTGTTCCTTGTTTGCTGCTTCCTTCCGTTGAAAAAAACAACAACCATACTAGTCAATTATGCCACATTTGGGCTCCCTTGACATTGAGATGGAAGTTTTTCTGAGACACTGAAATATTCTCACTCCACTATAAAAGAATGTGGTACTTAGGAAGCAAAGACAAGTTCTGAATATGAGTACTGTATCTTCTGGACTTCTGGGGTAGTGGCTGTGGGAGCTTGTTACCCATCCTCCCCACAGAGCGGTATACAGGCAGGGGTATTCAGTGCTCTTCTCCTCTTTCTTTAGCCTTTTGTGGTTCTTGAGGTGTGTGTGTGTGTGTGGGGGTGTTCCTCAATTCAGCTCAGTTAGGCTTCTGTTCTTTCAGCCAGCCTCATTCCCATGTAACCCCGCCCCTTTCTGCTAAGGCCCCTTCTCAGTGGACTGGACCTACCAGGAGCATTTCATTCATGTAGAGAAGCTCTGCCCACCCATCCTCCTCCCATGCTCATTTGGGTTATGGTTTTCTGTCCACCCTCCTTGCTGGCACCTGGCTGAGAACTGAATGACACCCAAACCTGGCCTGAGTAGCCACTAGTTCTGCCCCTGCAGCTGGCAGCACTGACATGACCATGAATCTAGCCTATATAGAAGTTCTCTTACTGATCCAGGATACTGCCTACTCATCTAATGCTGGTTTTTAAAAATGGAAGGGTTGGGTGGGGGAACACGCTACCTATTTAAACTGACTTGGCAAACAAATATGGGAAGAGGGCATATGATACATGTCTGTGTGCTTGACAACCTTGTCAGATTTGGGATTAATTTTCATCATCTGTCAATGTAAATCACACTTAATTTGCTACTTTCAATTTCATATTTGATGCAAAAGCAGAACTGAATTTTCCTTGACACAGAAGCTGGCCAACTTTTAATTAGGAAAGCATCCTATGCAAGTTCCCCTACAGTCAAAAGGAATTGAACAGTAAAAATTTCAAGGGGATTATTCCCTTGGGGGTTAGTATACTTCAGGATGATTCAACCTGTTTTCTTTTATTTTTTAGGATGGGATGAATATGTGTATGTTCATGCAAAACACCTTAACCAGACTTATGAGGTAGAGAATTTTTTAAAATATACCAAATCTGGAACTGAAATCTTTGCAGAGTTTTCAAAAGTAGCATCTAACTTTGAATGGCATGTGGGGCTCAGTCCTATAGTTAGGTTTGTAGGAGTGTATGTAAGAGGATTGTTCTCATCCTCCACTTTTGTGTTTCCCAAAAACCTCTGTTGAAGGTTGGAGAGCCCCCATGAATGAAATGCCACACAGAATGGGGGCTACACAGATGTGGAGGAATTTAATAACATCACAACTCTTGAGTGCATGCAAAAGTGAGAGGTGACTTTGCCAAATTTCCCTTTCCAATTGCATCTCCCCAGCCCAATTTCCCCACTAAGCCTTTGCAAATTGGCTTCAGGGTGGGGGGGTGTTGATGGAAAGTGGGGAATATCCTCTTGTGTTGACCCTTTCTGCTCCTACATTTGTAGGATCCAAACAAATATCTTTAAGGCTAGATAGTTTTGGAAACTGAACACAGATCTGGCAGATTTTTCCAGAAGAAAGCTTATCAAAATCTGGGATATACTTCTTTAGCGATAGAAAAAGTTGAAATCTTCTGGAAATGTGGCCTCTGCTAACTTCTATCTCCCCTGTCACAATGGAGGCCAGTCTCTTCTGAAAGGTTGGCAAGCAATGCCTGAACAACCTACATAGGTACATAGATGGAACATATGCAGAGGGGGCGAATGATAGTTCGATCTACCATCTGTTGTTGTTTTTTCTCCACACAGTAGATTTCTCCTCTATCCAGTATGTATTAGTATCTCCTTAGTGATCAGGAATTCATATTTCTTTTGCACCCATGAGTGTGTGTGTATGTGTGTGTGTGTGAGGGGGGGGGGTTATTTCTGGCCTTTGCATATAATTTTTTTAATGTTTGACCTAAGCTCTTGGGGTAAAAAAAGTTATTTATCTGACATATAATCATGTTCCCCGTTATTTGGAAACTTTCTCTAAGCGACTGTAGACATACTGCTTGCATTATGCTTACACAGAGTGAGAAAGAAGAATAGCTGTTGAAGGACGCAGAAGAATGAGGCAGAACATGAAAATGAAGGCAGTGCTTTCTGAATTTCCAAAGAAGAAAACAAGATAGCCAAGTTCTTAAGCCATGTTCTCCATCATGCCCGTGGAAGTAAAGTGTGTGCAGAATTAGGGCTGGCACTCTCCATTACCAACTAAGCCAGTGTGATGTGGTGAACAGAGTGTTGGACTTGGTTTTAAACTCCCACTTAGCCCTGAAGTTCACCAGATGACTCTGGACTAGTCACCATTTCAGAAGCAGGCCAGAGAACTTGTGACAATAGAATGGAATGTGCATTTCCCTGAGCTCCTTGCAGGAAGTCAGGATAATTGTATAATTAACAATTAATCGAGTATGAAAAATGAAAGTACCATTGATAAATCACCTGCATATAAACACTGATAAATCACCTGCATATAAACATGTCTGTCACAACACTTGGTAGATTCTGTATCTATGTTCTTTCTGTAACAATTTGTGTGTGCCTTTTTTTGTATGAAATATGCAAAAAAAAAAAGTGAAATGCAACAAAATATTCTGTGGGGACCAGCTGTGTATGAGTATGTCAGTGGCTCATTCATCTGTTTCTTAACAGTCAGAGAAGTAGCAGGAAACTAAACAAATGTGTAAGGGCCAACTGTGCATAAGTCTGAAAAATATTTCAAATCATAGGCAATTATTAGTGCTGATATGAATAGCATAACTTCTGATTACTTAACATTGTGTCTTACTTGGAGCTATAATTTTGCATTGTTGTTGTTCTCCCTATATGGCAGGTTACCTCTAATAACAGTTGCTTTAGTTCAAGGAAAAGCTCTGGGAGGAGGAGCAGAACTGACCACTGCATGCGACTTCAGGTAAGGCAGTAGGCATTGCTGAATGGGCTAGACCATGTCCAGGGACTGTGCCCAGGGACAGACTTGACAGCAGACCTTGAGTGATCCTTCCTTTCAGTTGTTTCTTGCTTTTCAGGCAAAACACATCACAGTACAGAAGGAAATTTTAAAAAATAATTGTGCTAGTTTTTATGATACCTTAAAAGTACCATTTGATTTTAGCTAGCAGTTGACTATTACCCTTGGGTACAAATTGTCACTTTAACAAATAAACGATTGAACAAACTGGGAGACTCTGGAACTAGTTAACTCTCACACTGGATTAGATCCTATGAACTGTAAGCAGAAGATGTTTGTGGTACTTTCCCACTGCCAACAGCCTTCTCTGAAAACCTGATGTCAGAATCACAGGAGCCCCACGGACAAATTGCCATATGGGGTAGGGGGTGGGGAGACTGCTGTGAAGAGGGGAATTGGGTACCATCTGCCTCAATTCTTGCTTGCACTGTTGGAGCTTCTTTTGTTAGCAGTTAGATTTGTGTCCAGTAGTATCTTAGAGACCAACAAGAGTTGCAAGGTGTAAACTTTCGCGAATGAAAGCTCCCCTTGTCAGACACTGTAGATTAACAGAAACTCCTCCAGCTGAAGAATAAGAACATAAGAGAATTCATGTTGGATCAGGTCAATGGCCAATCCAGTCCAACACTGTGTCACACAATGGCCAAAAAACTGGGTGCCATTAGGAGGTCCACCAGCGGGGCCAGACTCCAGAAGTCCTCCCACTGTTGCCCCCCAAGAACCAAGAATACAGAACATCACTGCCCCAGATATAGTGTTCCATCTATACCTTGCAGCTAATAGCCACTGATGAACCTCTGCTCCATATGTTTGTCTGAGGAGGAGTGATGTTGCATGCATGGTGATGCCCTGTCACATTGGTCCTTTCTACACTTGGATCTCATCCCTGGTTTTATCAGAGTTCAACTTGCGACACAATACCTTGCATTTATCCCTGGTTACAGCAGCATCCGTTTATCCCGGCACAAGTGTGGGTCGAAACCAGGGTGACCTAAATGTAATGTGGAAACAAAAAATACCCCAAGATAGTTACAGGGGTGAACTCGAGCATAGTGTAGAATGTAAGTTTGGGGACAGGGTTGAACCAGGATATTGTTCATGTACCTCCCGTGATTCAACAAGACCTTTCTAGAGGCCTCAGGCAATTGCTGGAGAAAGGAGATGTGAGGAAGATCCACAAACATGGTTCATAGGCTGCAACTGACTGTCTGGATCTTTACATATCTTATGCCCTTTTCTTCCATGTTATACAAAGGCTGGATTATGAGAACTCTTCATTCTGAATAGGATGAGCAGAGAGTTTTCTAGATTTCCACTTATTTATAAATCATGATGTTATAAACACTGTTTTGTTGGCGTCCCCTCCCCCTTTTATTTGAGCAGCTCATTCCCTGTAGCATGCTGCTGGATGATGAGTAAATGTTTATAGCACAAACATGCCTGGGAGATGCCAACAACTTGGGATTCAGGCATTAGCAAATGTAGCACTGGTCTTGCAAATTGTTTTTCTTTCTTTTTTTGTTTAGAACTTTTCTGTTCCTCCTCTCCAAAGACCTTGCCCAAGGTGGTTAACAACAAAAATAAAATAAGTCGTGCGATCAGATTAAAACAATTGATAAAATTCCAATAATATTCTCAATAGGAAAAAAAATCAGTTAAAAATATCAAATGGAGGACAGGCTAAAGAGAACGGGTTTATACCCAAAGTGGTACATAACACAAGTGTTTTGCTGTTGACAAACATGCACACTAAGGATGCTCATAAAATTCTTTCAGAGGGCAGCCATGTTAGTTTGCAGTAGAACACCTAGATTCAAGTCCAGGAGCATCCAGGGGGATTTCCCCCCGCTTTCGAGCCCCGATTTCCTCCCCCACGGAATCGACGCCTGGGGGAAACCCCACCCCCGCGTGCACGTCACCCGGATGTGACGTCACACGCTGGGGCGGGGCCACAGCCATTTCCCCCTCAAATGGCTGTGGCCCCGCCCCAGCGTGTGACGTCACATCCGGGTGACGTGCACGCGGGGGTGGGGTTTCCCCCGGGCGTCGATTCCGTGGGGGCAGAAATCGGGGGGAAATCCGCCCCCCGGGGGCATTTGGCAGCCCTAGCTCTGGCACAGCTGTTCCTGAAAGAGCAGTTTGTGTCAGAGTTCTCTCAGCCCCACCTACCTCACAGGGTGTCTGTTGTGGGGAGGGAAATGGAAAGGAGTTTGTAAGCTCCTCCCCCTCCCCCCTCCTTCTTCGTTTAAGTGTTTGAAAGTCTAAGATAAATGGAGCTTTGACTCTCGAAAGCTCATATCCCCAAAACCCTGTTGGTCTCTAAGGTGCTACTGGACTTGAATCCAGCAGTTCTGTCCCACTGAACTTCTCCGCCATTTACGATCTGTCCACTCACCTGCAGAACATATCAAAATAGACCCTGCTAGGCTATTTTTGCTGCTCCTTTTTTGCCACCTGCAGGGCAGTGAAGTAAAACTACTTATTTAAATATGTACTTTGGGGTATGTTATATGACGGCAATCCTAAACAGAGTAAAGGCTTCTAAATCCATTCCAGTCAATGGGCTTAGAAAGGTGTAACTCTGCTTAGGGTTGTAATCTGCAGCGTTTGTTGAGCCAAACGCCCAAGACATGTCATATTGAAGAAATGCATCTTAAATAAGTATGCATATTTACATGATTGGGACTGGCAGTGTTGCAAGGGCTATGTGAATCTCAGTGTATGCCTACTAAGTGTTAAATAGCTTTTTGCTCATTAATTCATTCAGACTTCTAGCCAGATGCTTGTTGCAGGTAACACATACTTAAAATATTGATGTGAAGTTAGCCTTAAATAAATTAAGCATCCCCATCACTCTTTTGTCTGCATTGCTAAGAGCTATCCAAATTAATAGTAATAACAAAAAACATACAGTGTTTCACTGAAAGTCTTCAAGATTTATCAGAATTTCACACTAATGGCGCATATGTCTTGAAATGCCATTATCAGATGCTGACATCTGAAGAATGCTGTTAAGATTAGTTTGGTCGATGGTAAGGAACATTAATGCAAGTTAATATATAAGATCACAGGTGGTTGGGTGGGGTGTATTGAGAATCTATCTCCATGGGCCAAGTTATTTCTCCTAAGTGGATTGTCACTGTTGTAGCATATAGATCTATTTCAGCCCAGTGTAATATCAGTTGCGTCTGTTGGCATTCATGCATATTCTATATTTCTTTATATCAGTCCATCTAATAGTAAAGCCTTTGTGAGGAGCATGAAAGCATCAAAACTGAGCCACCCACAGACAAGGAAGGGATCTCTCTACATACTCGGGATATTCTGCATATGTGGGGAAAGTGTGATTCTTTAAACCAAAACAAAGGAAAGGAAAAGAAAAAACATTCCAAAATGGCCTGATGAGGACTGAAGATACTCCAGTAGGGATAGAATGTAGAGTTGGGTTGCTATTTGGGGGGGGGGCAGGGGAGGGGGAAGGAGGAGAAATCAGCCTGCTCATGCCCCTGAGAGCTTAGAGAACCCTGGCCAGAAGGTGGGATTTCCATATCATCCCCACCTCTACATAAAGCCCCTGCTTCTTTTTTGGAAGGATTGACCTTTGATAACGCGTGTACATAGGGTTGTTTCTGTCTCACTGGCTTGTGCCAGTTATTTTCTAGCAATCTGGGGTACCTCTTACATGTAACTTTGCTTGTTTTTCTTTGGATGTCATTGGGATCACCCTTGCTTTCCCTCTCTCCTTTTGTGCAGTGTTAAACAGAGAAGTAATAACAGGTGCTTAGAGTGTGAGACTAAAAAAAAAGTCAGTTCATTGTATCTGAGTCCATGTAATTAGGCAGCTGACATAATATAAATCTGGCAGGAAGCCCCGATCTCAGGATACTTGGCACTGAACAATATAAAGCTAAAACATTTCAGCCTTTTAAAAGCCATTTGTAACCGGGCATACTTCAGCCACACAGTTTACATATTACAATATAATTACAAACATGAAGCACTGTTTAAGTACAAGCTTGCCTGAGGTGGGAGGCTCTAGTTTGATATTCTCTGTTTTAATTCTTCTGCTAAGTGAAGATCTGTCCTTAGCTTTGGTCACTTGAAAACTTCACCCAGAAACTGATAGCAGTAACACAGGAATGGGAGAGGAATAGGATTCCACTTTAGGTTCAGCTAGGTCATTGCTAGTGTCTGAGACTGGGTGGGGGAGGGGCAGTGTTAGCAGGGTTCTTCCCGTCTGAGCCTGTTTCTGTAGGGGCCCCATTCAGTGAGTTGCAAGCAGATCTCTCCAGCACTCCTTTTTCGACTGCAGACCTTTGCTTCCGTCACCTGAATCACTAGTGAGGATACTGGGGACCCTTAGGAATGATGTAGGATGTGGTACAACTGGCTACAGCTGGAGGGTAGAAATCTGCAGAATTCATGCATTCCTCCCCTGTCTTAAGCAGTACTCTTGCCTATACACACTGGTTAAATCTGAAACAACACTACTACTCCCTGCAGAATTAGACTAGAGGTCTGTATTTTTTTCTTTGAAGAGGTCACTTTGGACAAGATTTTCTGCTCTTAGCAGCAGGGATAGGTTCATGAAATCATTCTGAGATTCTGTGTACTGAGAAGTGCCGGGGGGGAAACAAATATGTGGATGGATAGAATTTCTGTAATCATCAAAGCTACAGTAATCAATTGTTTAAGCAAACTTTGGAGCACAGCCCCTGTTCCAGTTAAATATGTATGGGCCCTCAAGTCACAACTGACTAATGGTGACCCCAGCAAGGGGCTTTCAAGGCAAGTGAGAAGTAGTGTCATGGGCATGAATGAGGATGAGCTGACAGAGCCTGCAGAAACCACAGCTGGCCCCTCTGAAACAGTAGAGGAGGATAGCTGGCAAGTGCCTGTAACAGTAGTCTTCACACCTGGTCCAGATAAGAAGAAAGAACTGC